GTCACAGAGAAACTAGTCATTACCCAAGAGACCTCCTCTGCTAAAATGTGTGACGTTTTGCGACGATTTACCAGGGTTTACCGGTGATTTTGATGATCCCGGTGGTCCTGGTGGTCCCCGTGTTCCTGGTGGTCCTCTAGTGCCCCGCTTTCCTTGCGGACCAGCTACGCCCTTTGTTCCCTTTCTTCCCCTCTTCCCGTTTTTTCCAGGAGGGCCCCGCGGTCCTTCCGGCCCTCTAGGACCAGACTTTCCTGGTGAGCCACGAGCACCTTGGGCACCGGGTAATCCAGGAGGACCAGGTGGACCTGGTGGTACTTTACGACCTGATGAAATTCAAAAAGACATTTATTCATTCATTCATTCGAAGACATTCTCGACAGAGCGGTAACAAAGCCCGTACTTGTTTGTTATCTTTTATCTAACCTCTCAAACTGCCCGTTGCGCTAAAGGATTACAAATAAGAAACTACAGGATTGAATCTAGGTAAACTAAAGGAGAGAGAGAGAGAGAGAGAGAGAGAGAGAGGGAGGGGGAGGCGACTCGAAAAAATGTTAACAGAAGATAATCAGTTTAACGTACCATCCACACATATTATTTTTCGCGGGCTATGTTCTTCTGTCAAATTCTGTTGAAGAAATTAAATAAATATACGTACTTTTAGATGCAGGTTTGAATTATTCACCTATATTCAACCATTAAGCTTGGTACATCCAGAAAATTTGCTTTTAAGCACCAGCCAGAGAGAAAATAGACAACTCGTACATTTATTTCGTATACACAGCGGATGCAAATGTCATGCAAACTGGTGCAAAAAAATCTATATTAACCGAGTGGGGCAATTGGAAAAAATTGGAAAAAAAAAGACAAATTCCCATGAAAGCATGATTCGATTTGAAATTGCATCGCTTAGAGTAGGCGCGATTTCCGCCGCTCTCTCGAGTCCTGTCTTTTTCGTTCCTCCCCGAGAAGAGACGCTTCGGAGAGGATCGCGGGCTCCGGTTCCCGAACAGCGGCTGGCCGAGCCTACGCCTAAAGCGGTTCACAGACATTCGAGTGCGCCAAAACAAGAGAGAATACTTTACATCGAGGAAGTAGTTTGGAGAAGATTAGTTTCTCGCGGAAACAGAAGTGTCAAGAAAGAACGAAGTAGTATATTCGTCACTATTGCATTATATTTTTTCCTTTAACTTTCTTTATATCTGATGCATTGATTTATTTTATTCTTTATCGTTTAAAGATGAATTTATATACATAAACCATTAAAAATTCTACCATCATTAGCATAATTAAAACGTGAATATAAAACTTACACTTTGATTGCCTCTCAAGTTAAGACATTCCCTTCTACATTTGCGGCACCGGGATGTCTCATCAGCAGCTCTTTTATCACGGACAGCTTCTTTCCTTTGTGATCCAACTGGATGTGGCTCTGCTGATGTTGGTTCAACAAGCACGCGACTGAGAAGCTGATGAAGAGATTTTGTGGGCAAAAAATTCTGTTCAACCGCTGTTAGACGTGAGTCTAATCGATGCAATGAATAGCACGTGAATCCAAGTGAACCTAAAGTCAGGATTAAATTGAATGAAAGACCAAACATTAAAAGGTGTAGGTTCTTGGATGGTTTAGACTCCATATTCGTCGATTTGAAACTGGAAGAGACTGAGTGGATTCTGGTGCTAACTAGAGAACTGCAACATAAGTTATAGATTTTAAATCGTCATAATAACTGTGATAATGAGCTTTTTATCGATGTGACCTGCAGTGTTTCTTATTGTTTCCGTTTCAGTTGAAGGGTTTGAACAATAATTTCCTAGAGTTAATAACATCATGCATTCTTATATCATCAGAAGAGAGAGACGAATAAAATTTTGAAGAAAAGAGTTATCTTTGGTCTTGCAATCCTAATCAAATGGCATTGACAAAGACAACTCTGCTAAGCCACAAGCAAAGAATTCATCCGGGTAATGCAGATGTCATTACATCTCCCTCGCTTCCATCATTACAGCGTGATGTACCAGCATTACAGGATGTAGTGACGAGGAAATACGTGTCAGCTTGTAAAATAAACTTTTGCATGTTGTTGTGATTTAAATTCCGCAGAACAATGGCGCTATTATTGTTTCGGCCCTCATAGAGTTTCCACCTCTACACAGAACTTATTAAAATGACGTTGTGAAATGTCCTAGTTTCTAAAGCAATCAGCATCTTACTTTTAATGTCCCAACTAATCTATGCAGTGAACTTTTTATTCAGTTCCATGGTTACATGAGCCGAGATAAATTAACGAATTTTGCTTGAAAAGTTTTTTATAAGTAATCAACGTGTGCATCGAACTCGAGACGTAATGGTGCAAGCCTCCGTGTATCTCGGCGTGAGTCACGCGAAGGGAGCAAGAATATTTTATAAGAGCAGGGGGAGGGGGTGGGGGGTACATTTCTGAGATGTTTTACGCAAGCTGTCGTGCAGCGAAAGTTGAGACCAGGGAGATGAAAGAAGAGATTTTACGTTACTTGCTTGCTGTTTTTGTCGTCGACTAGAATGAAATCTAACGAAGACGGCTTGTCTGTTTGGCAAACTGTAAGGGGTAAAAACAAGACTTACGCAGAAAAAGAACAGTTTAAGGCGGAAAAAATGAACACTGGTTGCATATTATGCAATCTAGGAAAAAATGGCGACCACATGCTCAAAGCCGTGACTGAGGGCGGCACACGAGTTCAGAATTTCGTCACGTTTCTTTGCGGAAGTGGTTACGTAAGTTGGTTAATTAATTTCTTTTCAAATAGCTCAGCCGACCCTTCGCTGTTATTAGAGGAATCCATAATGAATTTTGTTCTTTCTGACTGAAGAAATTCGTTGCAGCCAAACCAATTGTTATTCCGATATCCATTTCTTTATAGGAAATTTATCTATCATGAAAAGTTCTTCAGGAATTACGGACAGGAAACAGACCTGACGATCTTTGCTCTTTTGGCTCTTTGGCCGTTTGGCTCTTTGGCTAGCCTGTGTACAGCCGCCCCCTATTTTGGAGGGGGGGGGGCAGCTGTACACACGCTACTCTTTGGCGGTCTTTCGACAAAAAAGAACTGAATCCTCGAAAATGATGAAGTCTACTTTAAACTTCGGTTTCAAATAATTGATAACAAAATTTTCTCGAAAAAAGTGCTTTAAAAGTACACTTCATACGTTTTAAATTTCATCTAGATACAGCTTCAATACTCTACACGTTCTATTTTTACCTGCCCTGCGCATCCCTGACAACGATTTGCGAGCGAATCGGCTTCTGCTGGGGAACGTCCATACAGTATGTTGTCATTTTATGATTGAGAGCCCGACTTATAGTTTACATCTCTTGATATGATATGAAAAATAAACTTTTCTTTTTTTATGTAGACCAATTTTCGGTGCAGAATGTGAAACAACCGGATGGTTATAAGTAAACGCCATAACAATTACGTATAAACAAGTTTCTTCTGTTCTTAGTAGGAGAAAAAACACCAAAAAAAAAAGGAAGAAGAGAAAAGAGAGATATATATTTTCGTAAAATTTGATTGGTTTAGGTTTTACTTTGAAGAAATGATCTTATTACGCGATCTAATAAAAGCCATGTACCGCGTAATGAGGAAAGCCGGAGAGTAGGACCGTCAGCCGGTTCATGTGATTCTCCGCTTAGTTGCCACAAAAAGCTATCACTTTATGAAGTAACCTAGAATGCAAACAGGTTCATGTTATCACAGGCGACTACAGGTTCATGTTATCACAGGCGGCTACAGGTTCATGTTATCACAGGCGGCTCAAGCGTACTGTGTGTGATTTTGGGGTCTAAGGGTCATTAACGGCAATACTTAATATATTTTAAAGCATGTGCCGTAATAAAAAAAAATAATAGAAACAACCGTTTTTTTTTTACTTTCTTTGTAGTGCATGTAGTGCTACTACCATAGAAATAGAGTATATGTTATGAACCCAAATCATCCAGAGTACGCTAGGGCCGCCTTTGATGTCATGCGCTGAGGAGGGAGTCCCCCCAAGACCCTGTAAAATGTTTGATTTAATCGCGTGTTTATCTGATTTCAACAAACTTGTGCACAGACGCGTGCAGTGAGCTGACGTGTTAAAATTTCAAGCGAGTCCAAGAAGTTCGCACGTGAGAGCAAAATTCAAA